GAGCAAGTGCAAGGATGGATGCACCAACCGTTCTTCGGAATGGTCTCTCGAGCATTCGGATGCTTTTGACTTTACTCCTGAGTATATTAGGCGAACGTTGCACCTGCGGGGCTGTGATTTTCTTGCTCGGTGCAGGGGACCTCCTTTGTTAGGGATCGCAAATGATGAGGTCACTGTTAACTTAGTTGCTGCCTGTCTTTAATTTTCTTCCCATCATTTTTTCATAAGGATTGTGGAGCCTTTCCTGCACAATGCAACTGCATACCTGCTTTTTTTCTTCAGATGTGGAATATTGTGCAACCACTGAAAATTGAGTTGGAAATGAAAACGTGGCCGATACTTTGCAATGACAAAATCGATGAAAAGAAAAAATAGTGTCTCCAGCCAACAATAAAAGACCATAAAAGTAGAAAAACAAAGATACTTTGTGAAAACAAACAAGCAAAACACTCATTGTAGCTACTGGCTTCCAAGTCCGCTATAAAATCTCTCAGACAGGTCAAGCTAATAATTTCGTTTCGAGAGGCCGCTCGGCAAGTTCGATTTGAAAAAAAATATCGTCTCACGAGAGCTCGAGTGCCGATCATTCCTGTACAGCATCTCTCTCTTTCTCGGCTCAATCGTGCTCTCTCTTTCGAGAGTCCATAAAATTCAAAAGCTTTTGTACGGTCACCTTCTTGAGGTGGGGTACCGGCTATTAAGAGCTTAAAATTCATTTCTGTCCGCTCTCCCTGCCCCACGAGCTTAAATACCCATGCGCCGGCTTCGACGAAGACAACACGAGTTATAGGGTACAAGTATATCTTTCTCATTTCGATTCACTTCCACTCTCCTCTATTTCCATTTTCCCTTCTCTCTCTATCGACTCCATCCACGCTCTGCCTACACAGTCGTGTCACTTCCCATCGCGCCGACCCGCATGACCCACCCGACGCACCAGCTCTCCGATACAAGCCTGCATTGTGCACATGACACCGTACCACCTTTTTTGTTCTCTCTTCCTCTTTTTTTTTCTTCTACTTTCGAGGCTTTTATTGCTATGTTTTTTTTTTTTTTTTTTTTTTTTCCACCAAGACTGTTTCGTATGCGCGTGATAGCGCGCACGTACGCGTAATTTGTACGCTCGTCTTTTTCGCTGCCCGCTGCTGTACAGCTTCTTTTCTTCTCTTCTCTTTTATTTCCTCCAAAGAGAACAAGTAGGGCAGCACGTGAATTTAGAAAATTTAAAGAATTCAGCTTCTTTTGCCTTTTGTTTTTTTCCTCCTTCACCTCCGCGGTGTGGTATAAATTACAGCGCTCGTGAATGATTTTTTTTTTTTGTTTCTATCAGCTCGTCGATTGAAACTTACGGTAACAGTAAAAGTCGAGATGAAGAGGGCCACTCGGCGTATAACTCGGTGTGCCCCTCGAGACGATTGCCTAAAACCGGAATACCGTCGCGGTCGTATTTATAGAATCAAGTCAAAGCGATCGACCAAAGCCAATATTTTCCAAAGAGCGCCGCGTGAGTCAGAATGTTATTTTCGTGCGTGTCCCGTCCAATGCACTGCATCTGGGCAACCATCTATCGATCGATCTCGTTCGATGCATTAGCTTTTTTTTCTTCTTCTTCATTTTCTCGAGCCATAGCCAAATAATTTACCGCTTACCGAGTTACTGGAAGTTTTGTATGTTACAGATTACATCTAAACTTTGGCCATTTACGTGAAAAGCTACGTATATGACGCGTCGCACGTATATATAATGATGGTCCCTACACTTGACTGCCCAGCCTCGGACGAAACGCGATGCAAACAAACGCGCATGATTATTGTTTCTCGTTCTATGGTGTTCGGGTAACGCGATTCAGATATACATGTACCTACCCACGCTCGCAGTTTATACGTCGCGGTCGATGATCATTTGTAGTGAATGTATATAAGTGAGTCGTTCAGGGGTGGTGGGTGTATTTATGAACACGAGTGGCTGTAATTACATCGTCAATTATCGACTTTGTATCAACTGCGTATTGGGCTTGGAAGTGGAAGTGTCGAGGCGCTGAGGCAAACGCTTGTTGAGGCGTGTCGTAAGTTCTTTTTTTTTCTGTACATTTTTCTTGTAACCTATAAGAAGAAATTTTTTTTTTTTGCACACGTAACGAGAAAGATAACGGTAGATTGCAAAAACTAAGAATTATTTATTAGTTAATCGATTAGTTCATTATTTCAAGAAAAAAAATTAGATGTTTTCTTGTCAACGTGTCAAGTATTAGAACAATTTTATTTGAGTACATTAAATTAGCACGTATCCATTAATCTGCAGTGATATGAGTATTCGAACCTAATTCAACCTTTTAGTTAGCGTAGATATTAATCTACTCTTTCAACTAAGATATTTCATTTGACGCCAAACAGAACGTTTTACAATCCATATGACTTTAGTTAATAATGCAATATATATAATTGAACACTAAGTTCGTTACTGTTAAATCAAAATCAAAAAATTTTGCAACAGTATTGTAGAATTTGAATAGACTATCCGTACACCTATAAAATGTTGAAAAAGCCAATAGATTGATTAAAAGTACTACAAAAAGTGCAATATCTATACAATAAATTAAAAATTACGTAGCTGTACCCCGGTCTGCCGCTTCTATTTACATCTCCACTTCATCCCACCTGAAAAGAAAAAGTACAGCGCCAAGACAGCGTATGTACCAATTAGCGCGCAAAAGAATGGCTCAGCGGAGGATGATTAATAAAAAATTTCGCGCTCCGTCGGAGTCGAGCGCAGCAGGAGTATTATCAATATCACAGAGAAAAGTGTGGCTGCAAGAGATAATACGCGTTTGATTATCTTCTCTTTGGCGCTGTTCCTTTGTCAGACGCCAATAAGCCGTGTGTGCCCTGATGAAGAGACGACGGTGCACTCGCTTGGCCAGAAGGAATAGTTGCGTGCTCCCTTGTACATAAATATACATGTATGTATACAATATACGCTGCACTGCTTCCACTCGCGCTTGAACGCGCATTTGTACCCGTAGGTTACCATCCCCGTGTGGCCACTGGTGCAGTATCCTCCCCTTATACTGTCCACCACCTTTACTTTTGCAACCAACACGGAGCTTCGGATGCCCACCCTCCACTTGTACGTTCTACCTCGTTGTATTTTTCCCCTCTGATTTGTGTTATTTATCGCTGATACCTACTTGTACTTTGTGCGAGCTCGAGTTTTCCGTGGAAACATTTTTCGCTTAACCGAGCGCGTAACCCTCGGCGAGATAAAAGTTACGACTTGATAGCTCGAGGAGGAAGAAGAAGAAAAAAGAGCTCAAGAGACGTTACAACTTTACAATTTATTAGCGTTTCATTCGCGTTTGAGTAACCGTGCGAGCTCTTTTTTTTTTTTTTTTTTTTTTTTTTTTTTTTTTTCCAACCGATTCTTTCTTTGTCCATTCATCCGTGGTATTTTTTCTTCCTCCCCACTGTTTCGCCGTCACGTCCGAGTGAACCTGCTCTTCAAAGGAAATTAATAATTATCCTCCGCGCTGAAAGAAAATTCCTTAGAATCATGAAAATACGCACTGCAATAGTTTCAAGCAAACAATACCTTGAAATGACATACATTTTCCCACTCTGAAAAAAAAAATGTTTTTCTTTTTTCTTTCTTTTATTATTATTACTAAGGAAACAATAATCTTAATGTAAATAAAAAAAAAAGAAACGTTACCTCGTTTAAANGCAATATACATTTACAAAGCCGAAAAATATTGCAGGGAAATAAATTTTACCCCACTTGCAAATTTGCAAATTTCACGTATAGCAGCCTTAACCACATGTATAGCTTGTGATGGATGTATTTCAACGCAACAGTTAACACGAAAGCTTTTGCTGCAAGAAGGTCGCCTGGGGGACGAAAAACCCTGTAAATTTAAAAGGGCCAGAGGTGGTATTTTACTGTGACTCTGAAAAAAAAAATGTTTTTCTTTTTTCTTTCTTTTATTATTATTACTAAGGAAACAATAATCTTAATGTAAATAAAAAAAAAAGAAACGTTACCTCGTTTAAAAAAAAAATACTCGTTGTTACTATTTTAGTAAATATTTTTCTGGTTCTAAGAAATTGTTTGTCCCAAAGTGTGGTACGTAGTGTTGTTCTTACCAGTCCTCAACTCGATCCTTTGATTTATCCACGCGAACCCGCGGCGTCCCCATAATTTGTACACTCGGAACATACGAGATCTCAAGCTCACCCGTCTCCGTTGAAAAGCACTCGTTACCCCCATTACCTTCTCCAATCTTCGAAATGATCGAGCTTCGGTCCCGGTTAGTAGTAACAGCCCAAACACGGTAAGACATCGGTCAGCCACGCATGTAATCACCGGGACTTTAAGCACAGCTCCCCCATCGCAGCGTTAGTTGTGCACAGAGCAACCGATCCCGAGATTACGCGTCGGTCCCAACTGAGGTTGGCTCATACAAGCGCTTGAAGAAAAAAATAGTACCTTGCCTACCTTTATAATCCCCCTTATTTTGTCTTTCCATGCAAATTCGGGCCATTGGAAGAAGAAAAAAAAAAAAAAAAAAAAAAAAAAGGGATGGGTAGGGGAAAAACGGAAGAGTAAAGAGGGCACACGTGCGAGTGCACATCGGGTGAAGAAAGGCGCGAAACAAAGAGCGCATTACCGCCAGGCGTCGCTCGAACGCACATAGACGCGCGCGCTCGTACCCCATCAGCTGTTAATACATAGGTTCGACGTCGACGATACAGGGATGAAAGAAAGAGGAAAAAACAAGAAAAGAAGAAGGGGGAGAAAAAAAATAGAAGAACGTATTGTACCCACGCTAGGTGTATACCGTACGTTGGCGGGGGGGGGGGGGTTTGTAGCAAAGAGACGTCGAGCGTAGGAAAAAGGGAGGTGGGGGGGGGGAAGCTCCGAGGAAGCGGGCGGGAGAGGGCGTCGGTGGTATATTTGCGCAGGGTCGTCCAATAGGGCGGTAGTATCGTCGCAGCGAGCGTCGCGTCCGCGTCTCCTCCGTGTTGCGCTGGTTCTCAGTCAACTCCGACGGCTGCCAACAGCTGCTCCGCTCTACCGAGCTTTCGGCTTGTATACGTACGACATATATACACGCGGAGCTTTTAACTGCCAAGCCGGCTGTGTTGTACGTACAATATTCGTACTTATATACATACATGTGTATATATATGTAACGTGAAAATGACACAGTAGAGTAGCAGTAAAGGGGCACTGCACGGAGTTTGTGAGCGAGTGTGTACATAACATATCTATACGTGTGTAGGTGTTGTGCGGGCCAGTATGGTATAGAAAAGTCGTCGGCGAGTATATTAATAGAAAAAAGGGGCGCACTGCACGCGAGCGCGGCGAAAGAATTACGTACTCGTAGAAGAGGAGGAGAGAAACAGTCTCGTGTCGGACGCGCGCACAAGCAGTTTTCTTTTTTTCTTCTCCCCCCCCGACGTTGTACGCGTGACCGTGGCGCGTTAAACGCTTCGTACGTGCAAATTTGAAGTTTCGATGGCTGCTGATGGATCATCCGAGGATGTGGTGTGGCCTCGGTGCGAGTAGTTGTAAGGTACACAAGGTGGAAGAAGGAGGAACCGGACGAGAGGACGAGTGATCGGGACAAAAGTGAGTAGAACAGGTGTCCGACGCGCCCTTTGTATCGCTCCAAGCTTTTTTTTTCCTCTTCCGACCGCAAGCTCTTTCTCCTCCCGTTTTTTTTTCTCGTTTTTTTTTTTTCTCGTTCTTCCATTCCTGTTTCCCAATGGTTCTGTGTGCATGTTTGCCAGACCGCGCTAGGGGTGGCTTTCCGGATTGCTCGTGGAAAAGGTGGGTTGGATGCCCGCAATACGTTTGTGCCCGTGTATACAAAATGTACGTATACGTGTGCGCGGGTGGGTGTGCAAGAGCAGAGAGTCGAGCTTTTCACCGACGAATGTGCGTAAATACAGACGGGGAGGAAAAGCTCCCCCGATAGCCCGGCGATTCTCTTTCCATGGGCTTTTTTCCTTTGTTGTTTTTTTCTTTCTTTTTTTTCGTTTATCTTTTTCACGAGCAGGGGACGATGAGTCTTTTTTTTCGGGCGGGTGATCTGTTTTTTATGCGACCGTGTTTTGTGTTCTCGTGCACAAGTGATCGGTGGCCTTTAGTTGCGTTGCGAAGGGTTGCGTTTCGAGTATCCGTAAAAACACCCCTTCCAATATTATTTGTAATTGTACGATCATATTATTTAAAGATACCGCACGCATATAGTGACTGCACTTTCGTTTGAAATTATACTAGCCGTCAGATATCTTTAACGGTTTATAATTAGATCGGCTTTAAAACATTAAAGGCCACATTAGAGAGCGTAACGATTTTTGGGCACGGCAAGCCCGAGTTACGTGCGCGCGGCCGATCATAAATCTTCGATAGAGCTTTCAAAACGATTATTAATACATTGACGATGAAAGAAGTAACGCCAAAGTGCCGTCCTACACAGTTTTTTTTCTTTTCTTTTTTATATTATAGTGCTCTACGACCGGCTCCTTTAATAAGGGCCCTACTATGGGCACTTAGCACTTGGGAAAGGGACAAGGAAAGGGATGGGAGGGGGGTAGGGGGAAATTAGGAAATTTTTGCTGCAAGAAGGTCGCCTGGGGGACGAAAAACCCTGTAAATTTAAAAGGGCCAGAGGTGGTATTTTACTGTGAGATTGAATTTCCGCTGCACAGAAGTTGACTCGGTGAGATAAACAATGGACGAAATTCAATTGCCGTAATCAGGTAATTTACAAAGCTATTTTCTTCTTCCACCTTGAATCAACGTACCCTTCAAGTCCATGGCTCCGCGTAAGATTATCCCTCGACAAATCATTAGAGCGACAGTCGCGAGAATCATCAGCTCGCAAGCTAAACTCTATGAATTTTTTTAGCTCTGAAACTCCGTGTGTATACATATCTACGCGAGCTTTATCCATCTCGAGAGTGTTAAAAATTTCTTTACGACAGTGGCACTAAAAAAAGCTCTTGGGCGTCGCTATCGGCGCTACCGTGCGCGCGTACCTCATACTTATCTCGTATTCAACCGCTCCAGGGTCCCATCCGACTGTATTATACATTATGCTGCAGGGGCGTTGTGCTCGACACGGGGAGACAACGCGGGTGAAATGAACACGCGAGAGCTTTCGTCAATTTTTTTTTTCATCCCCGCCCCCCTTGTCGGCAGAGCAGCACCTTTTCTCGTCGAAGGGGCCAAACTATGGTGTGTGTGTGTATCTGTCATTTTTTTTTTTTTTCTCTGAAATAAAATAAACCATCCTTGCTGGGAGCCGGGATGGGTAAACACCAGAGAAAAATTTCACAAGCTCCCCCTCGCCCGCGCCTATGTAGCAGAGCTTCAAAGCACATCGCGAATCTCTGAACTTTTGGGGGAGAAAAAAAAATCAAATAAACAAACAAATCCGTAGCGCCCACCACCCGTACTCGCGTGGCTCTTTCGACTCAAATTTTTCCACCCTTCGATTTCCCGCTGATGTTCGAGGTGGAAAAAAAAGAGGACCCTGCAGCTGGCTATCGATTTCCGTTTTTCGCGTTTTCGCGAGCTCTCCGAGGAAAAAGCTCTCGTGCTTGTGTGCGGCTGTCCTTCTGCGTGCTCACGTGTGCTTGTATATATATAAATGCGGGACTGTACCGCAGCCGCGAGAACAATGTCACTTTGTGTGCTGGATGATGGAGAGAGAGAGAGAGAGAGAGAGAGAGAGAGTATATCGCCAGAGCTTTATGTATTCGCTCTCTTGCTGTAGATCAATTATTCCTCAGAATCATACAGGGTTTAAGGAAAATGTTGATGTTAATGCGTTTTGTTGGACTTTGCTAGCTAAATGGTTAGTTTGTCGGAGCATCGTAGTGGTATCCGATACCAATTACGTTGATTAACGCGTTATTTCCGTGAGATCTTGAACATTTCAAGCTCTGATGAGGATTTTAGTACTGTCATTTTACATATTCAAGACTACTAGCGTGTCTGTAACTTGTATAGGAATGCCGTTTTCTCCTTGGATTGTTAACTTGAAACATAGATTTTTTGCACACAAATTTAAAACGTAGTGAAACAAATAAAAGTAAAGAAAAAAACAATAGTTTCAACTCATTTTCCGGCTTTTGTATTCATTTTAAAGATAAAATAGTGAAATTTTTTGTTTTGAGTAATGAAAAACATTTTGCAGGGATGAAAAATTTTTTATTTAGCAAAATATCAGTGGTACTGGGGGCACTGATTCGTTTCCAGGATTCATGAGTTGAATATTGTTTATATTTAATTACAAAATAAGCCAAACAGAAGGTGGGAGCGGGAAAAAAAAATCAATGTACATAAATAACGGACACCCTACCCGTAGGTAAACACAATCAACAAATTGAAAACTCACCGTGTCTGTTTGTTTATTTTTTTTATCACCGAGACAGGCGCTAAAGTGCAGTACATCGAAAACAGAGAGCCAGGAAACAAAAAACAACAACAATAACACACATCGAGTAGGTACATAAAAAAAAAAAAAAAAAAAAAAAAAAAAACCTGGAAGCAATCCAACTCAGCAGCGATCAATGGCACTCGCCAGAAAATCACGCGCATACATTTCAATGATTGTCAAACATTAGTTGTCCATTGAAAAATTACCATCCACACACACGCGGACGCAATTTATAAGACACGTGCTTACGCTCTCATTCAAGTTATTATGTAAATTCTCGGCAAATCGAGTCTCAGGTACATAGGAATAGATGTGCATACAACGACAGCTGGTGCACATAGGTGTATAGCACCACTTCCGACATAACGACGGTGCGCCCATATAATCTAATCTGCACGGGTTCGACATTGCACATGTGAGGGATTGCTTCGTCAAAGTCATCAGTGAGTCCAGACACAATTATATAATTTCAATGAAAATTTTATTTCTGGGTAGATGTGATTGGTTTTTGTTACAAAATTTATTGTTTAACACTATTAACAATACAATGTTAAGAAAAAACTTGTTTTATCAAAATAATACAATACATGTCAAATACAATGAATGTTGTAAAGTATTTGAAATCTAATACTTGAATATTTTTTATTTATTTTTCATTTTCGCATTTAAATACCTTGTTTTTGCTGGAAAAAAGTTTTTGTTAAGTACTATGTTATAGGTAGTAAAAAAATTGGTAAAAAATTATATTTAAAACAATTGAAAAAATATCCATACCCAAGACTATCAATTACGTGGTTCCGAAATAAATTAAAATTGGTTTTTTTATTCACCTACCTTTAATAATTGTAATTTAACTGCAATATACATTTACAAAGCCGAAAAATATTGCAGGGAAATAAATTTTACCCCACTTGCAAATTTGCAAATTTCACGTATAGCAGCCTTAACCACATGTATAGCTTGTGATGGATGTATTTCAACGCAACAGTTAACACGAAAGCTTTGTTCACATGTACGTTGTTTAACATTTTGTAAATTTTTGACTAAAATTTACCAAAAAAAGATATATGCTTTTTTTTTTGGTATTCACGCCACATGATATTGAAAACAAAAAAAAACCTGCCGGAACAACGAGCGAGTACGAATGAGGTACGGTACCGAAGAGTATAGCTGAGCTTCTTCCTGCTCTCTTAGTTGGGAAGCCTATTATTCTCCCAACTCTGCCGAGAGATAAGGGCTGCTCGTGCTTAATGATGCAGCTTCAGCTCGTTACTGGGATAACTTTCTATTTTTTTTTTTCTCCCCCTCTAAGCTACGGTTCCTCCCGGTGCGTTTGTTTCATTCTTGGCTTACCGAGTGCATGCAAATGCGCAGCACGACCGAGTGATGATTTACTTGTTTCACGTTTATAGCTGGTCGAGGAAAAAAAAAAAGGGGGCCGTTTCCGCAACTGTATTTCATGCGTGGGAATTTTTCGTGACCACCGTATACGACGCGCGATTCCGTTTGATGTATTTGCGGCTCGTGCGCGTTTTATACCCCCTCGACGTAATGCATCTTCGGTATTTACGGGTCCGTTTGTACTTCACCTCTCGCACGTGTATGCTCGCGCGCTGGTGTAATATTCATGCAGCTTTTTTCGGAACTCCGAGTCCTCGGTTGCCCCCCCCCCCCCCCCCCTCGCGAGTTCACATTATCGAGTGGATCGCTTTAAAAATAACTAATTTATGCGTCCCCGGCCTGGTTTTCGCTGAATTTCAAATATACTTGGGCCTAAAGTGAAAAGCACTCGAATAAGCGCGGTTTTACCAATTACGATTTTTACTCCGTTTAATCTTGCAACAATTCCACGGCTACTGTGAAAATACCTGTGTAATGATTGGACGACGAGGTGGAAGGAAATGAAAAAAAAAGAGGAGCGGAAGCTCGAGGGCAGCACATCAGAGCCGATAAACGGGAGAAATTAATAAACCGCCGCTCGCCGAGTGACACACGTGCACTGGAGATTCGCACCGACACAAACATTCACCTTGAGAGGCGGGGATGAGGAGCTTTGGGTCAAGGTCGGGGATGAGCTAGCTCTCGACACGAACGAGAGCGCAATAGTGGCGCGAGTGTCAGCCCGTGGTATACGTACCAACCCTCGAAAAAACGAGGCCTCCGCCAGCGCGTCGGAGGG